GTTTGCACTAGATGTTATCGTAATATCAGTAAACAAGTCTTGCGAAACGCCTCCATTTCCTGACCAATTATATAACCTCAGTATGCTGATGGCTGAAGCGATATGTTCAGTCGTCTACGTGTGACTGTGTTGCACGAAATGTGAGTGAGAAATAAGGCTCTTGACACGAAAACTCAATCTCTCATCATACGTATGATTTGCATATAATGTTTCACAACATGGAGAGTAAACGACCCGCGTCGAACGAGAGGCTGTTACTACCGCCTCCCAAGGGCGGATATTTGAACTCCCTTTCCCTTCATGTTTTGTGTTATCTAACCACTTCTTTAATCTACACTGGTTCATTAAGTAGAGGACATTCATCAAGAAACTCACTATGGAACCTCTCGGCGGCAAGTATGCATCTTCGGCCTGTACGTCGATGTCTATGGCCTTGCTCGTATTCACCTTTATCTCTATTGTCCTCTATCTACTAGTCTCCCACATTCGGCAAAACTCACAACTAAATATGAAGAAGACCCTTTCTTTACCCCCGGGACCGCCTCGATTGCCAATTTTCGGAAATTTCTTCAATGCGCCAGAGATATGCTTCAACTGGTTGACCCATTACCAATGGAAGTACTTGTACGGACCAATCGTGCATTATGAAAAGGGAGGCCAGTCTCACATCGTCCTTACAACGGTCGAAGCGGCTCACGATCTTTTGAACAAGCGAGCAAGCAATTATTCAGGACGCACATTCAGTCCTTACGCAGGAGAGCTCGTTTGTAACAACTACAACATTCTCTTTCTACAGTACGATACCCAGTTCCGGCTCCATCAACGGCTCCATGCTAAGGGACTCAACCCTCGCTCCGTGGCGCCGTACCATCCTCTGATAAAGTTGGAATCGCTTCAGCTGCTGAACGATCTGTTGTCAGAGATACAAGAGAAAAGCAGCGAGAAGCAAATGGGAGCTGCTGTAAACCCTCACTGGCACTTCCGACGCGCAGCATCCAGCAACGTGAGCATGATAGCTTGGGGCTATCGGCTGCTGAGAGGCAATCCCGAGCATGAAGCACAAATTAAATTCTTCGACGTCGCCCCAACCTCGGTAGTCTTGAAGACTACGCAAACATGGTACGATATCTTCCCTTGGCTAAAACATCTTCCTTACGCCATTTCTCCGTGGAAACGGGCAGCAAAGGTCCTCTTCGAGCGCGAGGAGGCTCATTACTTGGGCAATTTTCGTAGCGCACTGAAAAGACCCGGTTATAACCTGAGCAAACAAATTGCCGACAGCACTGATATCTCGGATATGGGCATGTGCGAGACTGAGCAGGCGTGGGTTGTTGGAACGTTGACATTAGCCAATGGTGATACCAGCGTCGCCACTCTGTGTTGGTTCGTCGTTGCCATGTTGACGTATCCGCATGTCTTTGGCAAGGCTCAGGCCATGGTTGATGAAGTCGTTGGTCATAATCGCTTGCCTGCTTTCGAAGACCGGGAGAAGCTGCCATATGTCGACGCGATGATCGAGGAAGTCATGCGGTGGCGACCTATCCTACCAGCTGGGCTGGACCATGCGGCCGTTGAGGAAGATGAGTATAAGGGATATAGAGTTCCGGCGGGAGCGACGATAATTCACTCCCAGTGGGCGATTACGCGGGACAAAGAGGTGTATGGCGCGGACTGCGACGACTTCAGGCCGGAGAGATGGATCGAGAATGAAGATCTACCCAAAACCGCCTTTGGATACGGAAGACGACTTTGCCCAGGCAGGCATGTAGGCAGAGAAGGCCTATGGATTTTGTTTGCCCGGCTCATTTGGGCATTTCGTCTTGAGCAGACGACGAATCCGGTCACACTGAAGAAGAAAGTGGTTGATCCGATGTCCATGATGCCGGCGGGCTTCGTGATTGGGCCAAATCCTTTTGAAGCATTATTCATTCCTAGGGGTCCATGGGTTGAGGGCCTTGTACATCAAGATCTTCAAGGTGCAGAGAAGGATGTTGGAAAGATCATGGAGCAGGTGGACACGGAAAAGAGGCTCTAGTTGCTTCAAGATGAGTTGCAAGTGGTCTTTTCTTACCGAAGATTGTGGGTGTGTCATTTTTAACACGTTTTCACATCGTTTGATTGCTTTAATTCTCCATCCTAGCTTATCTATCAACCACAAGATGATAGAAAGCGACAAAGGCCAAAACAATTACTAGGTCTTAACGATTGGTGTACCATCCTTAGCCGCTAGCATTGACAGTTGCGGGGTGCATTGAAGCAATTTGGATGTATGTCTTCCTCATGGGGTGAGAGTGGTCCTTGTTTGATGTTGGCCCGATTTTCCGGCTCAATTGAACCGAGATATTGAGTGCCGCTGACGGCCCAGCTGTGGAAGCGTTGATTCGGAATGAGTGGCTCGGGCAACCATTTGACGTTCAGCGACAACTATTCGGGTACCCACTTTGCCGAGTCTAGGTAGGTGTTATTACTCCTCCAATGGCAGTCGGACGTTTGAGGGTGTGCCGTGGTTGCGTGACATCAGGCAAACCGCCCGTGTCATTTACTGAGCTGTAAACCTGGAGAGACTGCGGCATCAAGACAATGAGCCTGGCAACGACGGAAACGGAGTGGACTAACGGGAGTTCGGACTGAGTTGAGGCAATTCAAGTGAACGGCGTCAACAAGCCTGTGTGCGTATAGACAAAGTCAGTATAATCTAGTAGCTACTTATACAGCTCATTCCTCGGTCAATCCAGGCAGGTTTAAGTGATTCAAGGACAACAGCACGGGTTGAAACGTCCATATTACTCATCAAAGGTGTCTCGAAAGGCCGAAATTATGAAGTTTCTCAACCTTCTCTCAGCCTCTTTCGCTCTTTCTAGTGCCTTCTTGACACAAGCGACCCGGCCCTTGGAAAATCTTGGCCGAGGCGTCGTTGCTGTGCGCGCAAGCGACGAAGCCATCTTGGTCACTTGGCGTCTTCTTGGACTGGATCCATCAGGAATCGGCTTCAACGTCTATCGTGACACGGCGACTTCCCCGACAAAACTCAACGACAAGATCCTCACGAGCGGCACCAATTTCCTTGATTTTACCGCTAATCCGGATGAAATCAATACCTACTTCGTACGGCCCGTCATTGACGGCAAAGAACAGGATGCTAGCGGATCTTTCAGTCTACCTGCCAAGAATGCGGTCGAGCCGGTTGTCCGGATCCCTATCCGCAGCGGTGGCGCTGTCAAATTCGTCTGGGTTGGTGATCTTGATGGAGACGGCGAGTGGGACTATGTTCTCGACAGACAGACTTCACCCCAGACTATTGAGGCTTACACCGGTAATGGGACTTTTCTCTGGGAAGTCAATCTTGGTCCAAATAGCGAGAATCAAAACAACATAGAGCCGGGATCATCGACAATTGACGTTGGCCATTGGGATGGTGTCACTGTTTTCGACTTCGACAGTGACGGACGCGCCGAAGTTGCGATTCGTATTGCCAATGGAGTTGTGTTTGGGGACGGGAAGACATTCGGCGCTGAAGAAACGAATAACCACCAGTCCATGGCTATTCTTGACGGGCGCACGGGAGCTCTTCGCGCCTTCGCCCCGGTTCCTACGGATTACATTGACGACGGACCGCTCGCCGCGCGCCTTGGTGCTGGGTTTCTGGACGGAGAGACACCCCATCTCGTTGCGTATATGAAGAACCGCATTGGGTCTGGCGATTTCAACTTGATGTATGTGACCTGGACCTTTGACGGTACATCTCTGAAGCAGGAGTGGAAGTGGAACCGGGGCGACAAGAATTTTCCAGACGGGCACAACACGCGCATCGTTGATCTCGATGGGAACGGAAAGGACGAGGTCCTTGAGATCGGCTTTGCCTTGAATGGAGATGGCACGGAGAGGTACACCCTCGGGGATCAGGGCATCATCCACGGCGATCGATTCCATCTCGCCAAGATTGACCCGAATCGTGAAGGGCTTCAGGGGTACGGCGTGCAGCAGCGAAACCCAGATCTGATCTACGAGTACTACTACGATGGGTCATCTGGCGAGATCATCTGGAAGCACGTCGGCAACAACGTGACCGACGTTGCCCGCGGCATGGTCGGTGACATTGACCCGACCCATCCCGGCATGGAAGTATGGTCGTTCTCAGGAGTCTACAACGCCAAAGAGAATGAGCTCACAGAGTCGGATACTGAGCTCGCCCCTTGGCCCCACCTGGGCCTTTGGTGGGATGGGGACGAGCTACTCGAACTTTTCAACGATGGCAAGTTTGAGAAGTGGGATTGGGAAAATCCTAGTACTTCTAACAGTCTCCCTCGAATATTGAGAGTCAGCGATTTCGGCGGAGTGACTGCCGGCAGATATCCTAACTTTATTGGTGACATCCTTGGTGACTGGAGAGAGGAAGTCATTGTCACCAATGAAGCTGCCGATGAGTTGCTAATCTTCACCACGGACAAGCCGAGCGATATCCGCTTGTATACACTGGCTCATAATCCTGCATACCGCAATGCAATGACTCTGAAGGGATACATGCAATCTCATCACGTTGACTACTATCTTGGAAAAGACATGAAGACACCACCGCAGCCGAAGATCCGATACACATTCGCTGGGTAGAGGGAATTACAAAAAGGGTGAAGTGAGAATTATGACCGACATAGGTACTTCTCGCCATTGGGTCCGAATTGATTCTTCGTTTTCTTTTAGTCTACTGGTGTGTGAGGAGGTATGAAGATTCCTAACATAGGTCGTGAATGTGTCCGCCTATAGCCCAATAAGATATTTTCTGGTGTGTCAATCTGTCATTACGCTTTGGTCAAGTTACTTCATTCATCGATGCCCCGTCCTTCTCCGTCTTGCTTATGTGTCCCAAGATAGGAAATTCGTTGCCTTGAGAGACATGCAGAGCGAACTAAAGGAAAGGGTGATATCTCAATCACAGCCATTTTTACTCTTACAAATAATCGTGAAGATGTGACTAAGGCAACATTTTGATATTAAAATATATCCTACATGACCTGACTGGATTTATCAATAGACACGCCCTGAAATCTATGGTAAGCCATTGTTGGGCGTGTCGGTAATGAATAGGATGTAGTCTGCACTCCATTCTCGAGCTGCAGTCCCTGTATGATCTGTTGTGGGACGATGTTGTTCGCTTCCTCGAGCCGAGCCTTCCTGGCAAGCCAAGTCAAGGTTGGCTTCAATGCCCACATGATGAAAGCCACAGCCGACGCCAAGACTGTGAAACACAACACAGGATGCCCAAAAACAAGACCAGCCTGCATAATGGTCCCTGCCACGGCGAAAGGCGATATGAACTGCAACTAAACATCGCACGTCGCAGTCAGTACGTACTTATTTTGAGTCTTTTCTCAAGCAAAAAATGGTGCAGGCTACTTGATGTGCAAGTCGGGAAGCTTACTATTGTGACGTTCCAGTATTGCAGGACGATTGCGCGGTTATCCCCGACTGCAACATGGAGACCGAGCTGCCGAGAACATTTTGTTAACTCGCGAACGGAATGACGAGTGGTATGGGTTGGATCTCGACATACTTTCTTTTCGAACCTTTCGACTTTGACTTTAAGTTCCTCCATTTCTTCTCGGATCGCCATAAGTTCATCTAGAGATCGACTGATCTCGTAGAGTGAGTCATTCATGTGATTGAGTCCATCTTCGCTCGATTGACACACGATACGGCTGGCGTCCTGGTCGAAAAACTTATTCCATGCCTTGATTGTCTTAGTGAGAAGGAGAATCCATTGGATAACAAGGTCACTAGTTTGTCCAAGCCATGCCTCACTTGCTTCAATGGCGTACGATTCACCTCGCATGGTGCCAAGTGAGGACTCTCTCCGAGTCAAAGGTATGTGCGGACTAGAGAGCTTGTATACGCTTATGTTAGCAATGAACGGGTCACATATGGTACATCAAGGTACAAAATCATGGCACGGAGTGATGACTCTTGACGATTCGGGTTGTGTTCCAGGACAGACCATCATACACACATACTGTAGATATCGAGGAATGGTGGGATTTTGCCACTTACATATTCGTCAATCATGTCTTTCAGCTTAAAAAGGACATTCATCCAATGCTGAGTGATCCTTGCGACGTGAAACTTTACTACCAAAAGAAAGTATTCACGCGGATCCGTGACCGACACATTGTCAGCTGTTAAATTTGCAATGCTAAGTGCGTCAAGTTCGCAACTAGTCATATCTGGGTCAGGATATGGGTCGGCGACATAAAACGGTAGCAAGTACTCGTTGTTCGGGTCGCTATCGTCTTCAAAGTAAGAATCCATGAGGCCGATTGCTGTCCAGTGAGATGTATCACGTCCAGTAACACAGATAGAAGTTTGAGCCTCGTGTAAGTAGTCCGAGCCATGTGCGATCCGGCCCGGCCTTGCAGCGCCTGGTAGAAAGGATAAATCTGTGGACTTGCGTAAAGGTAGACCGTCCCCAGTAACACGCTGATCTCTTCGTGGAGAGGGTTCCCTTTTCCAGACGGGGTAAGCCAAGTGGAACTCCAGAGTGAAGCCACCGTCAATCTGTTTATTGCCGTGAGCAACACGAAAAGATATGTCTTATGAATTCTTGGGAATGGTCTCACCACAGTGTCAAGGCCGATGGATGTTTTGGCTGTGAGATGCTTGAACATGAAGTCTCTGATGACTGGGGCTTGGTGATCAGGGGCTCTGACAGCTAGAACTCCAAGTGTCCATTGACAGGGGTTGTTGATACAGCTGATATTCAGTCAATTACCTCACGGATTGCACCTTCACTCTTCGGGCAGGCTCTTACATCTTGCGGGTATCAGCATTTGAAATGTCCTTTTTACCGATTGGCTAAAGAAGAATTAGTACAGAAATACTGATATTACATTGGAGCACGAATTTAAGAAGCAGAGTTGATGCCAAGGTCAGTCTCCAATCCTCAAAGATCTGAGTCCATTCTCACCTGTGAATCGAGGTGGCGATCGAAATCTAAAAGTGAGAGCGATCCATTATAACTCCTTGGTTTGTTTGAGAGATCTCGATCATGAAGCCATGCTGCCAAGTTACTTGGCATTTCGAAATTGCCTTCGCAGATTCTTCTCAAGATCGTTTCGTCGAGAACATTTTGGAAGACTGGCAACTCGTACTCAAGCCGAGGTGAATAGTCAGGGATATTGAGGAAGGTGGAGAGGAGACTAGGGTTTGTTCCTTCATCTTCAAAGCGTCTTTGGTCTTTGGTGTGTAAATCAATGCGGGAGATCTCGGGGTTCCGTCTTGTCATTGGACGATTCCACTGGACAGGTCGGCGTGGGAACGGCCGTGATGCTGCTCGATCCATTGTGAAAACGTCATTTTCAGGTGATTACGCTGCAAGTATATCTGTTTCTCCATGACTCGAGAATCATTCCTGAGATGTGAGGAATTATAGCCATATTTAAGTCCGGAGTGGGCAGAAGCCAACCAAGCCAGTCATTGCCCGATGAAAAAGATCGTCCGGATTCTCTTTCCTCTCAGCGGCTCAGTTCAATCCAAAAAGAGGGTTGTCCAACCGATCCAGAAGCATCTTGGTGTATTTGAATGCATTTTCGCAATCTCTTTAGCCAATCAGGTTCACTACGAACGCGGTGCAGAACCTGCGCCACCATCCCTGCTGCCTTTGCTGCATTCGTTCCCGAAACCCAACCCGTTGGGCATGATCGCGAGCGTTGAGAGGCACCAATAGGCTTGATGTTGTCGAAAGGTGTGCCCTTCATGCAGTTCTGATTGCTTGAAATACTTGCGGGTGTTACCGACAGCCCTGAGAAAATTAAGCGGTGCATTGGCCGAATTAATACTCGGACATCTTCTTACGCCTCCTGATTAACGGTGAGGAGAGCCGAGTTTTCGGCAGCTTTCAACTTCGAAGGCAGCGACTTGCTGATTCTTCATTTGTCTGATCTTGAGCATGACTCTAGTCAAGGCGAACAAGGCAGCCGCGCTAACATTCATTGCGACGAACGGAACTCTTCCACGACATCTTCGAGATTGACGCGCATGCTTAAGTGGCATATGTCAGCTTTCTTCCGATGCTGCTATTTGTTCTCGTAGTACCCCATGACACCCTGAACTTGCGCCTTTTATTGATTACCAATGAAGTCTGGGTTCACAAGGAACTAGCGCCATTGCTTTCTCTCATCTTGATATTACCTATGAATCTGGCTCTGCTTGATTTTGTGTTTTTGACAGTTTTAGGTTTCCTAGCCATGAATAGGAAACATAGTGGCAAGAGCTGTTCCAAGGCGCCTATGACGGATTGCTTCATCAACCTAAGCTAGTGACTCGTCTTGTCCCAGAGTCTCAGGCGCTCGCCAGTGTCAGGCTGCCTAAAAAGTCCAGGCAAGAAAATCAGGACGTAAAACCTGTGACATGGAAGCAGCGCAACCTTCGGGAACTTGCATGGTTGGACATCGGCAGCCCTGGGGTACTGGACCAATATCTGAATGCATGATGCCGCGCCATCATCTCGCAGTCATGCGAAGGACATGTATGCAACTGTCATGTATAGTATAAGGTGCATTAGTTGATTAGCTACGACAAAAGCGTGTTGTGGAATGCATATCGTAGCCAAGTTGAGGTGGGACATGTTAAGACTCGCAACGTTGCCTTGACAGGAGACCATCGGACCCACGCGCACTACCTGCGGGATCGGCCGAAGACTGTTAGCGCAGCGCCACTTAAACGCTGCATTCCAATGCAAATTCACCCGATATCTTTTGCCGGTCCTGTCTACTCTATTTGAACAACGCCTCTAAATGACTAAGGTATAATGCGTGGATAAATGAGAGGCAGAGTGCCTTCGGACTTTCCCCAAATGTGGGATGTCCTTCGGCCAAATTTCAAGAGTGTGCTTTCGAGGGGACAGTCGTTGCTGGAGTCGCCGCTCGTCTCTCATTAAATCCCTGCTCATCCCACTCAGCATAGCATGCTTCAGCCCACCCTGCTTCATTCCACCTTTGCTCGTCCTCTTGCACCATCGTATCCAAGACGACAGCGCATGATAATGGTGAGGTGAGTAAATGATTCCTAATGCCTTGATGGAATACGACTTTATCGGTGTATATAAGCCACCAAAGCTCTCCCGGCCGTGAATTACACTGGTGTGTGGCATGGAAGAAGTCAGGTCTCAAGCAGGAGATCGGACTAGCGACGACAAGTAAAGATACGTTGTTGACCTCAAATTCTGATTTTCGCGACCGGGCAATACGCGCAGCGCGGGCAACCACATGCGCCGCAGCTCTCATGACGGATAGCGTTGCCAGTTTGCCCGCAACGACACTACATTAGCCACTGGTGAGCATTGTTCAGCAATGAGAGATTCGAGACAACTAACACAGGTCCAAATATATACTTGCTTCCTTTTTGGTCCTCGTTGGAAGATCCCGGTCCACAGCCAGTCCGTGCCACCAGGGTCGTCGACACCTAGGGGTCTTGCGTTCTCCGGAGGACAATGGCGGTGCTCTAAAAGACTACACGATACAGCATAATGGGTGATGCTGTCGCCGAGTGGACTTTCAAGCGAGAAGTCGACGACGTCCAGAACAGTCTCATTGATAGGTATCGTATCACTGCCATGGCCGCCTTCCCGATATATGGCACCTTGACATAAGATCGAGATATGGTCTTCTTGACCATGACCTGAGGCAGAAGAGGGCACGGGCCCTTCCCCAACAACAGGCGAGCCGTTACTGATCACGATTGGGAGGGTCAGTCATCAGACGCCTGGCAAGGGTTCGCAAGCAATCTTACGCTGCTATCAGAGAGCTCTGAGCGCTCTTGACGTTCTGCATCTTTGACCTGTCGACTGACGGCTCGCTTGCTACGTCTTGAATGGGTACAGAGAGCTTTCAGTCGCAGACATTCATCAAAGAACGATATCGGAGTATTCGGAGGTAAATAGTTGTGCGACGAAAATTACCTTGCGTTGGCCTATGGCATGGCTTGAAACTTGCATGTTCCAGTCCCAAGTGGGGGACTTGACGCATCCTTATAGACAAGCTGTGGCAGAGAGTCGCACAGCGCAATCCCTTCAGGTCCAAGGAGGTTTAAATTAGAGCAAACAGAAAACTTGTATCGGTAAATGGACTTTTGCACAGAACATTGCTGTTTGATGCGCCGGCCAATTCGTAAAAGAAAATTCCCTGTGTATACGGTACCTATGATAAAGTTCATGCTTGCTAGGGCCCTCCAGCTCTTGTAGCATGGACTGGCCCCTTTTCTTCCTTCAATAATGCTAGACGGGATTAGCTTATCATGATATCCAGCTAAGCAAGCCTTAGCGTACTCAAGAAAGGTCACCGAGTGTTCATGACAGCTGGCACGGGACGTCAAATAGAGGATGAAGCAAGGAAGCTATCGTGTACAGCAGAATCTGGCGACTTGATTATTCGGGCTATCCTAGGGGCACAACAAGTTGAGGAATGATTCCCAAATGGCAATAGTCTCGCTGTTCGTGTTGAGAATCCCCCTCATCTAACAACAATATCCAATAGGGCAAGGCCTAAATCTTACGATCATCTTGATGGGGAATCCTGGGCAGAGGCCTACGTGCTAGCAGCCATCGTTCTCAGGGGGTGATTTGATTCAAATTGGCGAGATAGAACCCTGCCACAACGCTGCGCAGCCTAAATCTACCTACTACTGACGCCTGAACGACCATGCAAAGTCAGCTTGAAAGCCATCTCACCAGCCATCCGACGGCGTCGCAAGGTACGTACGGAAGACACATCAGATTGCGCATCTTCTCGGTCCGAATGGCGCCAGACCTCTGAGCAAAAGTCCTCAAAGGGGGAAAGTCAGAGAAAAGCGGGAGATTGATGTATTAGGATCATCCGGCATTTGATGGAATGTCTACTTCAGAAGACTAGTCCTGGTAGGACTTCTTTGCTACCCAAGATTGAGCCTGGTAGGCATTGGCTGTGAGTGCCTTGACGTCAAACCCATACAATGCTTTCTTGCCCCTGACCTTCTCCCCTTGGAGTGTTATTTCTCCACAAACCTCGCTGCATTCTAGAAACTCAAATCCCGAACTCTTCGTGACTTCAACAATTTCGTTGAGCGATAGTTGAACAAACGGACCAGTGCCCCATAGCAAGGGCCCATGATTGATCCAGTATCCACCAGGTCTCAGTAGCATGTGAATTGTGTCCAAGTAGGCCATAAAGTTTCTTGCTGTATCGATAAAGAAGTGTGTAACGATCGCATCGTAGTGTCCGTACTGTGTCGTAAAACTGGTGGTGAAGTCACCTTCGACAAGTAAGACTGCGCTAGCATTCACCCGTCGGTCTGGAAATAAGATGGATCGCATCATGTCATCAGTTGTTGCATGATGCGACCAGCTGTCAATAAACGGGTGTAACGAGGTCGACTCCACTTCGGGATGAGCCTCCAAAAACCGGGTGACGACATTCATGAAGGAGGACCACTCGTTGCTTGTCACTTCAAAGCCTCCCAAAGCGGCAATTTCGTGGGCTAGACGGCCCAAGCCTGAACCGGGAAGTAAGGCCCGAACATTTGAACGGTTGCCGTCGGGGAAGAGGGATTGAAGCGTGCCGATGAGGCAGGGAAATGCATCGTCCCGCTCTCCATGCCCAGCGCGGGACCAGTCCCGCACAAAGTGTTTGAGGGCCTGGGAAACGCTGGTCTTGTCGGCGAGTTGGCCGGCCTCATCTTTTGCCTTGCTATGCCGTGCAAGGTCATCGTGCGAGAGTCCGTAATAGCTGAGTGCGGTCTCCACGATTTCATCGCACAGTGCTTGGTTAACATCAAGGAGCTGCTCTATCCTATCGAACTTATTCGAGTAGCCAACTGTTGTCTCCAAAACCTAGGGACAGATCAGAAAGTGACAACATCAAGGTCTCCTGACGGACACACTCACCTTCTTCTGGGCTTTCGTGACGTGCTTGTACAGTCCCTTCAAGCGATCGACTTCCGCCATTTGCCTAGGCTTGTACCTTGAGAAGCCAAACAGAGCCTCGAGTAACCGATGACGGGGGTGATTGGTGTCCCACTTGCCATGGTGTTTGCTCAAACGCTTCAATAAGTGCTTTTTCTCCTGGATATGCCGTGGACTCATCTCATCCGAGGCATTACCAACGGTTACCGTCACTTGATGTATTAGCTCAACAAACGGGGCGCCCTGCATCTACATCATATGATCATTAGCGTTCATGGAAGATGAGCCTATCACTACCCGTCCGTTATGATCTTCAGTTGGACAAAGAGCCCTGCTGGGACTTGGGCCAACGGCAAGCAACATCACACGGCTGCGGCACGGGTTTCCACTCACAGTCGGGGCGGCGA